CCAAAGGATCACCATTAAATTTGGTACGGATATATAAAAAACCAAGTCCTACACCCATGTGATAACTTTTTTAGAGATCCGTACCAACTTTAATGGTGATCCTTTGGGGTCCTACACACATGGGTGGGGAAGGGTCCTATATCATCATTACTCAGTACATAAATATTTGTTTTAGTTATATTATTATCAAAATACCAAATACTTTCCATTATTACTGATATGCCCGGTTTTTTGGATTTCATGACAATTTTTTAAAAAAAGATGAAATTATCATTTTCAATTTTTCAAAAATCAAAATCAATCCAATTCCAGTTTTTAAAAAACGAATAATTTTTTTCTCTCTTGTGGGTCCTCTGGGTATTCTCTCTACCTCTCTCTCTACATTACAGAGAGATTTCGAACAAGAACCGCAGACAATAAGAATAGCATAGAGATTTCGAACAAGGCCCACAGACAATAAGAATAAGGAAGATTGAAAACCAAAAGTTCTATCTCTCGCACTATACCATTATTGGACTCTTGAACCAAGAAGAAGATTTATCTCTGTCGCTCAACCCCCTATCTGTTCATTAGCAATCCCTCTTCTTCCTATCATTACCCACAGAGAAGGTCAAAAACAAAAAAAAAAAGCAGTCTAGGGAGAGAAAATACATAAAAATAGATAATTCTATACTTGAACCTGAAGCAAGGCACATGCTCCACCCTTTACACAAGCGCCCGTTCCTCTGTCACGCCACCTCTTCTTTTTCTCTGCCTCTGATATCCCCACCCATTCTTAGGTACTTTTGATCATGCTTTTTTTTGGTGATAGAAAACTCTGGCTCACTTGCCATGGAAATTGAAGAAGAAAGAGTACATGAAATTGGGGAGGTCATGCATTTGCTAGGTCTTTGATTCTCTGATCATGATAATTTTAGAAAGAATGCATCAAAGATGAAGCTTCTAAAGTTGCATACAACTCTTCTTGGTTGATCATTTAAACTGCACGAACAATAAATGAAGGGAAGAACTTCCAGAATTACAAAAATTTATAGTTCTCTGGTTTGATCGACACTACATAATTTAGGAAAAGTTTTAAAGCCCCAGATATGAGATCTTGGAAATCACATAAAAAAAATGGAAATCAAACTTCCAAGGTTGCTGAAATCTCTTGTTATCTGATGATGGTGTAGAGGGACATACCTCACCATTACAATATCACCTACGAGAGGAATCGGCGAATGCTTTCAACAAAATACTGATAAGAATCTCGATACTACAAACTCTCCAATTGTTGGAATGATTGAAAATGAGTAGAGCAAAAAGCTAAGGGAAATTTAAAATACACGGAGGACTCAAAAAAGAGAAAATTTTAAATTTTTGATTTTTTAAAAATTGAATTGGCCGTATATTAGTTTTTAAAAAACTGAAAATAATTATTTTATTATTATTATTATTATTAAAATTTTTTTTTAAGTCCAAAAAAGTTAACAAGTAACATAAACTAAAACAAATATTTACGTAATTTTTCCGTTCTCTATGTGTTTTTTAGAGCAATTAAGCCGAGGCCTTATAGAACTATCATCCTTTATTAATTAACGATGTTTTAGGTTGTCAATGTCCATCCCCGAACCAACGGACGATTAGCCCTACAGATCAAGAATTTCCGGTCCTTCAAATGCCATGTCTTTAGCAAAAGACTGCTACTGGTTCGTCTACAAGGAAAAATGCAAGAGTTTCAAGTTCCAATTCAAACAAAGAGAACCCTAGATTCTCCCGCCCATAATTCGAAGGCCCCCAAAATTTCAAAATCTCAGGAAGAGGAAGACGAAGGGGAGGAAGAAGCAGAATATTGCAGAGAGAAAATGACTGAAAACCCTAGAGTTCAGAGATACTTGGTGGCTTTAGAATACATTGGAACTCGTTTTTCAGGCTCTCAGAAACAACCCAATTGTAGAACTGTAATGGGTGCTCTTGAGGTATCGATTTTTTATTTTTTAGCAATTATGGGGATTTTAATGAGGAATTTGAGATTTTTTTTTCCTTTTGCCCTTTTATTGGGTTCGAAAATTGAAACGATGCATTGAAAAGGTTTACATTGTGAGTATTTGCCTCTAAAAGGTTAGCAAAATATTTGGAAAAGAAGTCATCAGGATGATACGAAATTTTTTTGAAATTCTCAGAAAAATGAAAAGCGTTTCATATTTTTTTGGAAGGTATCGACTAGAAGTATGATTTCCTGCCAAAATCCGCAAAAAATTGTTATGCAACCTCCCTGTTCCAATTTCTTTGATGAATTTCAAGAAATCTTTAATCATTGTCTCAAGATACTAGTAATGCATTGAATCATAAAAACATTGGGATAAAAACATTTGTATAAGGTTGTAACTTTAGCTTGAAATTTTTGTGGCATTTAATATGTAATTCTTTCATTTAATTTTATTTGAGAAAAACCCCCATGATTTGAGTTTTGTCATGGTTTTTGACTTGAAAAATGAAAAAATTTCCCTTTGTTTGAAGTGTAAAAACGTTCTTGATGTTTTATGTAGGAGGCCTTTCACAAATTTATTGGACAACCAGTGTCAATTGCTTTCTCTAGTCGAACTGTAAGTCAACATCACTACAATATGAAATTCTTTTCTTATTTTTTCTTTCATTTTCTGTTAGACAATGTGGGTTATCCTAATGCAAAAAAACTTACAAGATCGAATGGAGGTTACATATCTTTTTGTTGGTCCAAACGCCCATTCCTTTTTTACAACTAATTCATCCTTTTCGTTGGTTGAGAGTTCAATGCCACCTCAAAAGTATACTTTCACAATGCAAATCAACCTTCGATGGCCAAACTCGAGAGTTCTTGAACTCGTAATGCGTTTTTTTTTTAAATTTTAATTTTGACTCTTGTATTAAAGTAATAAACCAGTTAAAACACTATAGGCAGCCCACAAGTTGGATGCTTTGTACAAAAGCCCTCAAAAGGGCTAGAAAAATGCTCTACGTTGAGAAGATGAAAATGAAGACTAGATACAAAAAATGGGGGACGAAGAGCTCAAAAAGCTGCCAAAAATCCCTTGAGTGGTGTCCTGTGTTGGTCCTTCCCTTGCAAGGGCATCGTCTGCTATGTTGGCCTTCCTCCAAGTACGCCTCCACGAGATGTGCATAGGCCTGCAAAGGTTTGAGATTTCATAAAAAATGTGATCCGGTCTCCAAGGACAAGTTGAGGGATCGGAGGCCCATGTGATAACATTTTTGGAGTCACATTCGACCACCAGTTCTTAGGCTCCAGCTAACATTGAAGTTCCTGAGGCTTAAGAGGAGAGCCAAAGCCTCCACAGTAGTAGAGTTAGTGTGGCCGATGAATTTAGAAAAGGAGAAGGGGGTTTTCCCGTCGTTTTCTGCGAAGACCCAATGCCCGAAGGCCTTGGGTGCCAAGGGAGCAGCCATCAAAGTTGAGCTTGGATTGATCGAGTTCGGGTAGTCTCAAGAGGGAGGTCCATGGGATCCTAGTGGGCCTCAAGTTCAACAACGGTTGCCAGTCTTAGTCGAAGTCTGAATAGGAGAAGAGCTTGAAGGAAATGTGGTTTTTGGTCCAGAATGTTACCAAGGTTCTGACCCTGTCTTTCAAAATTTTGATTGTAGCATTCTCCCCACAGAATATCCTGCTGTTTCTCTCGTTCTATATAAACCACAATGTGGCAGGCGTTGACGCCTGCCAGAGTAGGATGCCCGACTTGGACCAGGGAGAGTTAAAGGCAACAAAAAGATGTGTGACCGACTTTGGAGTGAACCACGAGCAGTTAAAAAGTTGGGGAAGTTCTGCCCAGAGGGATCTGGCTAGGTCTATGTGAATGAAGAGGTGGGCATTGGTTTCTTCTTCCTTCATGCACATAACGCATTTGTTGGGTAGCGGTGTACCCCTGCTTTGGAGCTGGTCGACCATCAAAGCTCTCTCGGATAGGGTTATCCAGTTGAAGGCTTGGATCTTGGGTGGGATGAAGGAGATCCAAGCTTTAACTGCTATGGATGGAGGTGTTGATGGTTAGGTAGGGGGTGAGGTGATTTTGCAGTAGAATGAGGAGGGTACAGGTGCCCAGATATTCTTGTTGATGCTGTGGGGTGGGAGATAATAGAGTGAAGGAGGGATGACATAGCCAAAAACTCCACCTCGTTGTGCGCATCGGGTCTCCTAAAGTTTGGTTTCCAAGTTTTAATAGAGCCAGTTGACTCCAAATCATTGGCAATGGTTGCTTAGGAGTTGCGAGCTAGGAGGAACAGGTTGGGGAATCCTCCCCGAGAGGAGAATGGCCTAATCAGAGGTCGGACTAGAAAAGGATTATGTTACCTTCTCGAGGTCGGAAGCGGATGCTATCTAGAAAGAGATTGTAGCTACGAAGTAGAGATCTCCAAAGGCCAGAGGGTCTACCATTGCTTCTACTATTTGGGAGCCACGTGTCAGCCTCACAATAGGACTTGTGCCTAATAATGTCTTTCCAAAGGTGGTTCTCTTGCGCAGCATATCGCCACCACTTCCCTAGGATTGTTAGATTTTTTGTGTTGAGGTTGCGGATGGCTAGGCCTACTTGTGCTTTGGGAGAGCACACTTTTGCCCAAGTGATGAGATGGTACTTGCTACCATCCACTCCCAACCATAGAAAGTTCCTCATAAGCCTTTCTAGTCTGGCCACTACTGTGGCATGCATGTGAAAGAGGGACATTTGAATGATAGGGATGTTGGAGAGCATGGTCTTGATAAGGGTTATTCTCCCTGTCGTGGAAAGAAACTTTCCCTTCGAGCTAGCTAGTCTCTGGCCGAACTTGTCAATGATGTGGCTCCACTGGCTCAACCTGGGCTTACCAATGCATAATGGCAACCCCAAGTAGGTACCAATGCATAATGCAACCCCAAGTAGGTAGAGGTTTTTCTTTTACTAGGGTTTTTGGAGAGAAAAAAGTAGGTGCTATAAATATGTGGGTTCGTTAGGATTTTAGAGGGAGAGAGAAAAAGACTGGAGAGAAGGATTAGGAAGGTTGTACATGAGCCTCTTTTCATTATGCTCAAAAGTCTTCTCTCTCTTGACTCCCTTCTATATAAGAATGCTCAATGAGATAATCTTATCTAATAAAGAAGTAATCTTTCTTATTTTGGATTATATTCTGTCTAACCAAATTTCTTCAAATTAGAAATCTATATCTCGTAGGATACCTTTCCTTTTTATCTACCATTGAGCTCAATCATTTTATGAGGCTCCTTAGTTTGTCTTGCGAAGACCAATATTTAAAAAATCTTAGATTTATTCAAAATGCATGGCCACATGCTCTTGTCGAGAAGGGTTATGTGCTGAGTCTGAATCTCCATCCATATAAAGAAAAGATTATTCGTGTACCCTATTGAGTGCAATGAGCAGACTCTTATGCATGTCGTGTACGTGTATCCATGTCATATTGTGTATGTGACTGGATGTGCCATAGGACTTGTCAAACATTACCAGAGCAACCCGAGTTTGGAACATTGGCTATCTGTGAAGAGGATACTCCAATATCTCCAGGGAAACACCGAATACTTGCAGATCTTAATGGGAACGATCTTCAGTTGCGAGGATATATAAGCTGACCGACCTGGATGATTGATGGTTGACATCAGCATATGTCTTCATTCTAGGAGTGGGAGCGATTTGTTAACAAGAAAGAGATGTGTGTCGCACTATTTACCATAGAGTCGGAGTATATGGTTATTTGTGCAGCACCACAGGAGGGCATGTAGCTCATGAGGTTCCTGTGAAGTTAGAGATTGTGTTGAGTACTGGCGAGCCTGTGGGTATGTTTCATGGCGGTAAGGCAGCTTTGGCTTTTGCAAAAGATCCCCATTATCATAGTAATGCGTAGCATGTAGATTGGGTAAGACTGTGTGAGATGTCAAGCGGAAAACAATAGTTGTGATATGCATTCTGACGAGCATGATGGTAGCCTAGATAATGACTAAGCCTGTAGCTTGAGAAAAGTAATAGGGGTCATGCCATGGGATTAAGAGCTAGGAGACCCTAATGGGTTTTCTGCACCATCATCACTATATTTCACTACTTGGAGATTTTTTGGATTGACTTTACCATTTATCTATGAGATTCTATTATAGTTTGTTTGGTGCATGTACACATAGTTTGGATGCACATTCAATCTTGCACACTAGGACGCAGGTTTATTGTGAGATAAATCATCAGCAAGCTAGCTCTATTACTCACATAGCATTGATCCCCCACAATGTCAAGGATGTTAGAGGAAGCGCCACACAAGGCTTGTGTGTCACCTCGATGTGAGATAAGATGAGATTCCATGTTTGGGAATTGACAAGATCCATATGGTGTCCCACCGAATCATGTAGCTTGTATGATATAGCCAGGTTTGAGCATTAGGAATGTTCAGATAGTTTATTGGGTGCGGACCAGGGTGCATTGGTTGTGACATACCCATGAGTGCGACTAAATTAAGATTTGTGTAGTGTAATTCCTATGCAAATCCTAGTATTTATATCATTTACACCGTGGTGCGTGATTCACACCACACGTGCTTAACGGGATTACCATTACTTTATATCATAGCATGATGCATATTTCCTATTATACTGTGGGAAATAGCTATTCACCAGGTGAACTTGAGTGCCGTTCGAGACCCTTGGACTATATTGAAAAGTGGATGCTTTATGTCGCTACTTCAGCGTGCCTCCCCATAGTCATGTTTGATCCGTCCAGGTTGGGTTAGAGCAAAGAAAGCATTCAGGTCAAAGCGGAATCAGGAATGGGGGAAGACCTTTGGCATTACACCACGATTATTATCTAGAAAACCAGTTACTTCATGATTCTCATTAGCTGCAGCAATATGAAGGCTTTCTCCAAGAATGTTCTTTTGCAAAAGTGTTTTTGAAAAACTAGTATAATATCAGAAAACATATTATGTGTAAATGAGTTTCTTGGTTTGCATGAGAACGTCATTTTTCTTGGATGAATTATGTGGGTGTGCATGAAGTACTTAAGTAGTCTCTTGAACATAAAGAGCTTGTGAGGGATTAATTGAGATGTGCAATCGGGTGTGGCCAAGTGTGTTTATGGTATGTTGGAGCCATTTTGAACAAGAGAGAAGAGGTGTTCCATGTTAGTTTGATGGTGACTTAATATGATTCTCTTTGTAGAGATGTATTGCTGCTTAAGGTCTCACTCACATTTTTTGATAAAGTATGCATTTTTGTACTGCGATGTATTACCAAACAATGATGATGTGAGGCTGACATCCTTTTTTGCACCCACCACAAGATGAGTGGGAGATGTTACATTTGGAGTCTGCCCCTTGTGAGTGTAAGGATCTCCTTGGTATTTTCGATATTTTTAATAGTTAATGGAGAGAAGGACATCCATGGTATTACTGGATTTCCTAATGATAGAGAGGGAAAGGAATCCAATGAGATATAGATTTCTAGTCGGGGATGAACTTGGTAAGAGGGAATATTATCCAAAATAGGAAATATTATTCTTTTTTATAGGATTTCCTCATTGGGCATTCCTATATACAGAGGACTCAAGAGAGAAAAAACTTCTTGAAAATAATGAAAAAAGAGGCTCAAGTACCACACTCCTACCCCTTCTCTCTAGTTCTTTCATTCTCTATAAGAGCTCAATAGAGTTTACATGTCTCTCCTCTAGTTCTATCTCTCTAGAAAACTTAGGAAAAAGAAAAACCTCATTGGTGATTCAAGAACTCGTGGGCTGTCTATCAATGGCTTGGGATATGCGTTGTGGAATTGTACTCCTCGTTCTAGCAATAACAAAAGGGAGATTTAAAGAGGCGACATTGAACTTTTGACCCGCGAAAAGGAAGAACTTGACATACAAAAAGATGGAGTGATCAGATCATAAAAGGGTATGTAATATCAATCTGTTCTTGTAATTCTTTTTTTAGTTGTGTTGGGATCATGTTGTCTAACATTTTCAAATTGTAAAGTCCACTTCCTATTATGAATAAAGAAATGCATTTTTTTCGGTTGGGTAAGATGGGATGCCAAACTTGGGTGCTCGGCAAAGAAAATGATTTTTATAGTTCATGAATGACTTCAGACGTGCCATCTGTTGTGGTATTTAAGTTTTCAATATGTTTCGTGTGCTTGAGCCGGTACACTTGACTACTTTAGAATCAGTGTGTCATGTCTAATAAGATATTCATATTTCTCTACATTCTATCAACTAGTGTAATTTAATTTTGCATTTCATGCTTGTTCACATACATATGGGATTGCCTTTTTCTACTATAGTCTCACTTGTCTTATATGTGATATGCTTATATATCTATCTACTTGCTAATGAGCAATTATACTTTTTGCAAGCACAAGAAAACCACATTCTACAAGATTTGTAAAAGTTAAGTATGCGCTTGAACAACAATACCATGATGCATGTGCTCTTAGGAAGCTCTTGGTGTTGCACCACCCTCACAAATTAAACAAACTAATTAGCAATATTAGCTAATTTAGCATTTGGGTTATGATGACTAATCATCTCTAGGCTTTGGCTATGGATTTTTTAAGAGGATGGGAGTGGATTGCCCAGTATGACTGGCAAAAAGTTGCTCAACGAGGTCGTGCAGAGTAAAGGAGGTGTGGTGGAGAAACCCTCTGCCTTTTTTGTGCTGCTTGCTTTGGTATAGAATTTAAGTATAAAAACACTTGTCTATTGCTGTGCATTTTTGAGAATGGGATTGTGGTTCATGCTCTCATGGGATCCTTTTTGAGGATTGCCTTAATATAGCAGCTCACTTCATCCCCATAAAAGTAGTATGTATTGTATGTTGGACATGGGGAACACTTGAAGCTGTCTGTTAACTCGCTAAAGTAAGAATTTTTCATCTTTGTATTGCTAGAGTGAAAAGTATAGCTGGAGGGTCATGATGAAAGGTTATTCTCATGCTGTTCAGATGTTGCACTAATGTAATCCTATTGGTCTACACTGCTTGAACCATGACATTAATTTTTGAATACCTGAATATGAATATTTGTTATTCAGTTTTCTCTTAGATAGATTCAAAAAATATGTTATGTTAGGTTCACAGAACTGGACACCCCTGCCATATATTTTAACATGCTATATTAGTTTTCATTGACACCCTAGACTACACATCTTGAAGCTGTGAAACAAATTTTGATGTATCTGGGAGTGTACATATTGTCAGTTCGAAAGATCTGATAGTTCTCGCGTATAGGCTGGGTGCTCAGTCGATATGAACTGTAGGATAAATCTGCTCAGTGGATATGAACTGTAGGATAAATCTGTCTTCTCGGGTAACAATTATATCCTTTGGTTTTGCAAGAAGCAAATTAAAATTAGTGATTTCACATTGGAATTGAATTTGGAAGAATAGTCCTAACACCCTTTTAGATTGCGTAGGTGGTGTGGAACTTTCGTATCTTTTATTTTGAATATCACATGACATGCATTTTTATTGTGCTGGCCCTTCGCCACCCTAGCCTACTGTTTTCTTGAAGGCATAGTAATCCTGAGTTGTACTTAACACGGCTCTTTGTTTGTACTCTATACGCTGTATAGCATTTTTGGGCCCTACAGGGTTTTTGTATAGGACAACCGCCCTGTTTCCATTTGTGTACACTCCATTTTAATCAATACCAAGTGAACAGCTTCCAAAAAAAATTGTTTACAATGGAGTGTGGTGCCATGTCATCTTTCAAAGCAAATGATTTGGATTAAAAAAATCTTTCTAATGAAATTGACATTGATGTTTTGCTAACAATGACAATATTCTACTAGAAGTTCCACATGGGGAATATGCAGGATTAATTGCCATTTCATCAGGAAAGAAGTTGAAGAAAGAATCATCCGGGATCCCAGACTTCCTAGTAAGGGTCAAATAGTAACAGAGGGTAGGAAGTGAAATATTCATCATCTTGATGGAAAGCTATAAGTGTTTGGCTCACAATGGTGTTAGGTTAGGTGTTAGTGAGAAAGAAGATGCAGAGTTCGACACATATTCTTTAGTTGCAATGGCAGACCTGTTGTTTCCTTGTCCCTTACATTATTCTTTAGTTGCAATGGCAGACCTGTTGTTTCCATGTCCCTTACAAAATGAGTTTTTTTTTTCTAATCTCGTAGAGCATAGGATCTTAGTGTTTTGAGTTTGTAAGGATAATTTATTGTAGCTTTACTTTACATAAGCTCTCGTCCAAAATATAATGGGAAGAGAAGTCAATGATAGAAATTGTAGTAATTCATTTTAGAGTGCTTTCTAAATATGTGGATTTGTGTTGTGATTCCATGAATGACGTCTCCATTTCAGAACTTCTGATGTGAGTAACCTACTATGGATCTCAGAATGTGTTAAGCGTTTCAATGGCATGCTCCTCTAGTACATGGCGAGGAGCATGCTCCTGTTTCATTGGTTAGTGTGGGATTTGAACCCTCAACTGTATGCGAAGTAGATATGTTTCTTTATGTACCTTGATTGTTTATAAATGTCTGAGTAACAAACTATTTTACTGTTTCTCTTGTTAATAGGTGCAATTTCTAGATACCTTTGGTCTATGTTATCATCTAGCTTTTATTTAAACATTATGGACCGTTTTTATTTTCATAGGATGCAGGAGTTCATGCATTGTCAAATGTTTGCCATGTTGATGTGGAGCGCATAAGCAAAAGGAAGCCTAATGAATTGGTAATTATGGACCGATGTTCTAATTGTTTGTATTTTATTAAATTCATCTGCACCTGCGTGTATTTTATGAAAAATGAACTGAAATTTGCTGCTTCAAGTAGTAAATCTGGGTTTCTGAATACTTTTCAGAAATGCAATCGGCCCTTGGTTGGCACCAGAATGTGGTTAGTGAATGGGATTTGTATTTGTTTAAGCAATTTTAAGAATTAAGGATGGAACCAAGTCTTCCTATGAATTTTCTATTTTTGATTCAAATTGTTCTCTGGGTTTTGTTGGATTTCAGCCGAAATTCATTGTGTTTTAGAAAAGTTTGCATGAATTAAGGTTGTATGATTAATTTTATATACAACATTAACACAAAAACATTTATTCTATTTTTTTTATTGCTGTTATCTCTGATTTTGTATTGTTGAAATTTGTTATGTTATTGAGGCTAATTTCATGGTAGATAAGCAATCGAACTTGGGTGTAAATGATGAGTCTGTGGTATTGTGTTTGGCATTAAATTCGTTTTACTCATAGACAGTTGGATATCTGGGAATTTCCTTTTTAGTGATATTATTAACAATAAACGATTTGGTTCTAGTGATACTTCAATGAACTTCTCATCTGCCAATTGATTTGATTGCTTAAGGGGTTGAAGTTAAGCTCTCTTTTTGGGAGGGAACTACAATGAAATGCATTTGTCTTATTTGATGAAGTTCTTATTCCATGTTTGCACTTAAATCTAGTTTCTTTCCGGGGAAACTGTTTCAATTTATGAATATATGTGTTTATGTAATAGTCCCACTTGAATGTTATTGTAATGTAGAATTCAAATATTTCAATGAGTAAATATATACTCTTCAGAAGGTAATATTTCACCTCTATAAGTTTCGGGACATGTGTCCATTGGATTTTGGTCTGATGTTGCTAAGACTGATGGTGGATTTTTTCATTCACAGTTGCCGCCTCATGAACCTGGAGTTGTCAAAAGAGCTGTCAACCATTTTTTGCAGGTGGGAATGTAGTGGTGGATAATCTCTGGTCAACACAAAATGATAATAACCTTGACACAAATGTCTATTTCTTTCTTATCTGTACTGAACCCAAATTCGCTTTGATTCTTCTTGTAAACTGGATACATGCTAGAGTACAATTAGAAGGGAAATGTTCTAGTGATATGTCACGAATTCAATGCTAAGCTTCAATGAAAACCACGGAAGATAGTAAATATTGGTCAAGACAAACTGTTTTGCCCTGGTTAATTTACTTATGGGAGTAACATTAATGATGAATGATACAAGATGGTATTTATCTTCTTGGAACTGTTCTACTTGGTTTTTGAGCAATGTGGATACATTCTAGTGTTTTTTAATGATTTTCCTAGTTTATAATCAGTTTTTTCTCACAAATCATTTATTGTTTCTATTTCCTATTTCGGAAGTCTCCCTTGCTGTACTAGATATGCGTTTGTAATCATTTTGATGATCGCTTCATGTCTTCTTTATGCTTAAAATAGTAGGAAGATACTTGGATGCCAGTATTTTTCATGTCTCAATGATAGCAGGTCCACTTTTGGCTATTTCGCTTATTTTGGATAAAGAATCAATTAGAACTTTTAGAAGCAAAAAGCAAGGCAGTGTGGCCTGCTCTATCGTTAATCTGAATATCATCCACTTCAAAAGAAATTCAGTGTATCAATTTGTCCTGGAAGGATTAAAGATAATTTTTTTTTCACACGTCAAATTATCTTTTGGCAAACAAAAAGTTACATGATAGCTTCAAAAGCTCAAAGCACATACAACGTTAATCTCCAATAAAGTGCACATTTTTTGCTGCTGATTGTTTTTCTATCCCCATCTCCAATAAAGTGAACATTTGTTGCTGCTGATTGTTTTCCCATCCAATCTACCCCCCCGGCGCCCTGAAAGAAAAGGAAAAAAAAAAAAGAAGAAGAAAAATTGCATTCTATTCAAGTCTTGGTCAAATATCTCCACTAAATGAGGCTTGAATTAAATTGCTAGGCATCATCATATCATATTATTCTCATGACAGTATTTATTTATGCCAGAAGGATGGAGGTGATATGATGGTGATCGACGTTCGGTTTGTCCCTCCAGATTTTCATGCTAGATTCATGGCCCAAGAGCGAACGTGGGTAAAATTTTTCTTTGATAGATTGATTTTATATGAAGCTTATTGCTAAGATATCATTATTCCTTTATACAAATTTCTTGATGCTATGTATAACGTTTCGGCTTATCATTGTCCATACTCATATTAAGTCACAATTGGCATGAATTTAGAATAGCTTACATGTGAAATGGCATAAATTTATATATAGATATCAAATGGCATAATTGTGTTTTCTTCTTGGTTTTGTCTAGCTATTTCTATCGCTTACTCTCTAGCCCTGAGCCACTGTCGACATTTGAGAAGGAAAGAGCATGGCATGTGCCCGAAGATCTTGATATTCATGCTATGGGGGTAAGGATTTTGTTCATTAATAACATGACAATCATTAATCTACTCTCCTTTGACTTATTGTTTTGGGTTTTCAAGTAGGCGGCATGTGGCGTCCTTGTTGGACATCATGACTTCTCTTCATTTAGAGCTGCTGGTTGTCAGGTTGTTTCTTATCCATTGGTACTCTGCCTCCTGTTTGAACTTTGTTATCGTAGGAAGGCATAGCATACACAGCCTCTCTTTGATATATTGTACACACCTATTTTTTATTGTCAAGAGTGGATGGTGTAGATTAACTGAATCCACCCTAATGAAACCATCATCAGGAACTCTAATTAATCTCCCATTTTTGTTGTTGACAATGGACAATGCTGTGGTTTTGTTCCATACACCACACAGCCTATGTATTTTACACTTCCCCATTATCTTAAGGAGGATTGACTTGTGAGAAGTGGAAATTTTTGTCTCTATTTTATATATTTATTTGCTTGCCTCTTACCAATGGAATATAAAATGGGTACTGGGCAGTCATATCATGTACGTGTTGGGTTTTGCACTCTATGGGGATTTATTCCATTAAACCAGGTGGCTGGAAAAAAAAAAATTAGACCATGGTAGTGAAATCTAACTCTATGGTTGAATCTAGCAAATGTCAAAAATGCCAATGCATTGTTATAGTGCCTTTATCTTTCTGCCTGGTGGCTGAAAATATGTAATAAACCAATATTTACTGTTATAAACCACTACTTATGATGGTTCAAAACAGTGCTGAAATTTCTGAACTCTCCCAGGCATAGCATGGAATCAGTGTTACCGCAAAACTTGGCCTTTGGGCTGGTGTTGCATGTGGGCACCTCATGACAGGTGATAGAATGGTAAAAATATAACTTGGCTTTATCAGGGCCCAACCCTGCGACCTTATACTGCAAGATTGTCCATCCTACGTCTCAGCAATGTATCTAGTCTGCAACTTATTTGTGAATCTCTTGTTCTTTGTAAAAAAGTGTATGGTTTCGCTAAATACGAAAAACAAAATGTCCTGATATATCAGGCTGTGCCTGGCTTTTGCACAAAAATATCTCACATTCAAGACATGTGGGACACTGACACTCATGTGGGAGTCCATGTTACTTTATGAAGTATAGATAGATTCGATATTGAAATGCACCTGGTATTAGTAGATGAGAGAAAATGACCCCTCTTACAAATATATAAGCAGTGGGGTCCATACAAGTCCCACTCAACAGGGATGCAACCCCTATTAGCAAATTCAAGAAAAGACACTCGCTATAATATTTGCACATAAAAGCATGGGAAATTGAGTAGTAGTAAAAGAAGATTTCCTAAGTCTTCTTGTTTTAACATGTCATATATGCCTGGTTAAAAGGGAAATATGTGTGCCCGTGATTCAGATGATGGATCTCAATTTGCATGGCTCGGACGTAGTTTGATCAGCCCAGTGTTTTGAGACTCGCCTCAGGCCAGGTACTCAGCCCTGGCCCAAGGCGAGTTACTTGGGCCAGTCTGAGTGGACTCACCTAAGTACTCTCTCTACAGGGCTGAAAAGCCCTTGACAAATTTAAAAAAAATAAAAAATATTCAAAAAAATATAACATTCATATCTGAGGTCACAGATGATGGAGGCTAAGAATGCTTGAGGCCTTATTATAATAGTCACATTCATGCTCCTTCTCTACCTCCTGTTGCTCCATGCTGGACTAGTTAGCAGCAAATATGGACCAGGGTACAGGTACACGGACAACACTGCAGGGGTCGGTGACCCAGCTGCTCACAAAGGAAGTGGCAGCATCTTAACTGGCAGCAGGGTCTAAATTCACCTTCTCTTTCTACCATACTTTGTCTATTTACCATTCCATTTGTGGTTTGACATGCTGTAATTTTATCTCATGCTATTTCCTTCCTCTGACTCGGTTGGGTTTTGTTTTCTTGGGTTGTGCAACTTTGTTTGCCGTGTATTTGCATGAGTCTGTTGGCTATATCAATTGAGCGGTGCATAGTTGGTTTACGAGAGAAAAATAATATTTTTATGGTGAGGGTAGTCTACACTTAGGTTACATGCAGAGAAAGTAGTATATACATGTACAATTAAAAGAGGCTACTTTTCTTACTCAAAGAAAATTGAAAGAGGCTACTTTTTTGTTACTTTATTTGATTAGCCTACCGGCCTTCATAGGCTTTAAATAACGTAAAGCGTTTAAGACATTGGATTTAAAAAAAAAAAAATGTAAAAAGTTTGTTCCCCGGGCCTCATCTTTACATAAAATTTTTCTTTTAACTAATGTATATTTATGCACCCCAGGAGTAGGATTTTTTTCAATATTTTATGTACCCCCAAGTTGTACATACAACTCGGGGTAACTCAGCCCTGGGTGAGGTTGAGTCCCATAACACTGGATCGGCCATCCAAACAGGATCGCCCTGTGGTCTTAAAAAAGAAGGCCCAGCAGTCTCTTTGTAACCAAAATGCATATAAGATAGTTAAATATATCAATTTTCTATTTTTTCATAATTTGAGAAACCTTGATGATTCAAAAACTCCTAGACTTTGATCATGTGCGCACAACTGTTTGATTGTTACAAATGGTTCTCATTTGAGATTTACTGTTTACTTTGTTTCATTTGACATGTAAAAAGGATCGCTTTTACAGTGTAAAATCAGCCACATGTGCTTGGGATTTTTCATTCATAATGTTCCCTATGAGAATGACAATTATTTTTTTGATGTTTTGGATTCTAAGCAGATGATTTATTATTGCCCCCCTCCCCCCTCCCCCCTCTTGTTTTTCTTCCAACTAATGCATGTTCTTCAAGTATGTGCAGGCAAAATCTCCAGTGAAAACCTTAGATGAGCTTCATGTCTCCGAAGTGCTTCCATCTCCCAACTTTCCAACAGCTTTTGAGAGGACACACAATAATACTATTGAAGAAACCAATGCATCGAAAAGAGATGCAGCTGATGAAGAAGATTTGAATGGTTCAAGAAAATGCAGGCAATTTGGTCAAAGGAGAACTCATCAATGTTATGTGATTACGGCAAGGGCAAGATCCTTTCTCTATCATCAGGTATCATTGAGTGATTTGCCCTTTATTTTCTATTAAGTGTTCCTTTTAATAAAATAATATGTGTTTTTTCTATTATTTTTGTTTTATAATTTGCAAATGCGGATTCTAAAATGTCTATTGAGGCTAAATAAGAGATTCTCTGCTGACAACAAACAGATTCGATATTTTTATTTCTTTTTTTTCCTTTGAAATATTATGACTCGATTTGGTCCCAGCAAATAGGTCTAAGCCTTTCACTTTATAAAAGCAGCTTGGTTTTGCCATGTAAATTTCCTAGAAGAAAGTGCAAACTTTTAATTGAAAATTTCCATTTACCATGAATTAGAACCTGCAGAACTAATTTATTTATTGTAGTCTAAAATTTCTATTAATTATTTTATTTAATTTTTGGAATATCATCATTCAGGTTCGACTGCTTGTGGGGGTTTTGAAAGCTGTTGGCTCCGGGGTTTTAACAGTAGCTGATGGTCAGTGCGTTCTACTCTCCCTTTCTGCTATTATATGTAAATATGTTTCTTTTTTCCAGGTCAGATTTTTATGTTTGTCATATTTATTATGATTTCATCTTTTGGGGTATGTTTTCTGCTCAAATTTATGATCATAATTAACAGTGGATTTTGTTGGCTTGTTTGCAGTTAAATGTATCCTAGAAGCGAAGGATGTGACCGCTGCGAGTCCCATGGCCCCTGCTTCTGGTCTCTATCTTGGAATTGTGAAATACAATTTTGATTCAGATGCGGAAAGGTAGTGTGTCTATGAGAGAGAGAGAGAGAGAGAGAGAGAGAGACCAAATTGTTACTAAGAACCCTGTTAGTGAATGATAAGCATGACGATTATAGAAGGTTTTTGGGGTTGTTTCTATAAAAGGGGTTTGTTTATCCTTTCTTGAGCTGTGTACTCATTTATAGCCCAGGCAAAGTGTTTGGTGACATGTCTTACGTTATTTCTTGTGCGATTTTCTGCATTTCTGTTTTTTTGGATAGTGCTATAAAGGGATTGAAGCTACAAGGATAAACTATTGTGGGCTAGGAATGGGCAGTTCAGCCCTGTCTGGAAAAACTAGGACTTGGGCCACAAAATGGCCAAGACTGGGCCAGCCCCGTTCGGTCCGGCCTGGCTTTCTTTATGGGAACAGTGCCAGGCTAGGGCCAGGGCAGGCCTGGCCCATTGCCGGCCTTATAATTACCTGTATTTATTTGGGATATCATGTTTGTCAAGTTTCATGAATTCCTTATATGCATATATAGGTGGTAATTATAAGCTAGAGATGAGGTTTTGGGTGCATCCCCCTGTGCGCCAATTCTAGTGTATTTACCTTCCAGTGTCCATCTTGGAGATGGATCTTGGATCCAAACATTCAAAAGCTTTATCATCTCGACCACAACAATCATTACTGAAGGAAATGAATATACAATAAATAAATTGAGCATTGGTAATGGTTCATGTATTGCGAAGGACTGTTCATCTCAACGATCCAAGTATCATCAGAGCTATGCCCTTTTTAGGGCCTCAAATTCATGATTTTGGGGTGTAAATTAGGAAGTGTTTTTGAGTCCTGAAATCCTTGAACACGAGTGGATTTCACCACAAGTCGAAGGATTATAAAACTGTCAAAAATATATTTGTTTGATGAATTCCATTAGGTAAACACATGGAGGTGGTGTTTGCATGTACACTAGTTCTGCTCCAACTAGACTTACTAAGTCGAATGCATGGGAGTATGAATCTTTCCATCACTGCAGTAGCGCGCGCATTTCTGATTGATAACATCCAATCTTTCTATTGATTCGTTCTGTTTTTTTTTATAAAAGTAGACGAATCAGTTCTGGGTTTGTAACTTATTCGTTAATTAAAATAAGGAGGAAGGCCTTTTTTTTGGTTTAAGAAATTGATGTCTACAATGGGCCTTTTGATCTTGAGATGTTTTGTGGAAACATAAAACTAATTATCTTGGTTACTTTATAAGAAATTTGTATCTTGTTTAATTTATAAGAAACTTGAATCTATTCATTAATTTGTTTCTTGTCACTAACTCACCATGAGTATCTTTAGGTATTTTGTTTAGGCTCCTCAGGGTCCAAATCTACTTAGAATAATTTAATTCCGCATTTAACATTAGAGGAGGTTTGAATAATTTTGTAGGTTTACAATAAGAATATGTATACAATGTGTCCATTTATTTTTTATATAAGGAGGTTACAAACTATTATTGATCATTGGATATAAAAGTGGGCGGTTGAAGATGTGCTGTTGATTTCACATAATATCCAAAATAAAATTTTTCGAATGTAGTGATACACTTCAATATATTAAATTTCACATTCAATAGCTAAAAATAATTATGACCTTCTTGTACGAAAAGTAAATGATCTCATTGTATACAATGCCTTGTAAGAATTTATTCAATTTTAGCACTAAAACGTTTCTCTTGAGATTTTCATGAGTCTTCAGTGCAAAGATAATTTCTAAATCCAAGGAGAGTCACCCACATGTTTTTGCTAATTCGTTCGCAAAAAGAATGAAATCTCAGAAAGGCTTGTTTATTCCAGGTATGAGTGCATATTGTGAGCAATCCAATTTGCGCGGTCATGAAGGTGATGTTTAGTTGGCTTGTGAGTATGTCATTGACAAGATTCAAAGTTTTTTTTTTAAAATTTATCGAACTTTGTTACACATCCCAAGCCATCAAATTTGACATTTTTAGACTAGGAGCAATTGTGACCTCATTGTAACAAAAATAAATGGCCTCGTCATATACAATCCTATCGAATTTTACCCGTATACCGCCTTCTTCTTAAAGAGTTGGAAAATAAAGGAGATATTGGAAAAATTACCCTTCTCCTCAAAAGGTCTTTGTCCTACATTCTTTGTAGTTATATGGTACTCTTTTATTCTTGTAATAAGTGTCCACCCCTTAAATGTAATTTAATAATTTAAAATATATATACATAGATAGTATAGATATAATTATTCTTTAAATAATAATATATAAATTCATACATCATTATCAAATTGTTATTAAATATTTCTTAATATTTTATTTGTATTATTATATTATAAAATTTTATAATTAATCTAATATTTCTATCACTAAATAAGTATTATATGTATATTAAATACTTAGATAATTTTACTACATTAGTTATTATTTATTTTATGTATTTGTGATTAAAATATTTATTATTGAAATATTTATAATTGAAATATTTATTATTGAAATATTTATTATTTAGCACTTATTTAAATAATTATTTATTATTAACTACTTATTATTAACTAGTTACAAATAGCAATATATTTTTCTTCTCAATTTTAAATCTCTCCTAGAATCTCCCAATGTACATAGATTTTCTCTTTCCAATCCTAAAATATCTCTCTCCATCCTAAAAAGATACGATTGCTTTGTTAAAAAGTAAAAAGAAACTCTACAGATGCCAAATTCCTCAATGAAGGTTACATGCCCTACATCCTCTCTAAGAATAGGGTCCGCTTTTTAATCTTGCGACAAATGTCTATCTCTTAAGTTAATATAGATATAATTATTCTGTAACAAATAAAATAACTAAAAAATAATTACTTAAAACTTTCATAAGTCCTTCAATAAAATAGTATGTTCTATTTTGTGAGGCTCGTGCTATTGTCAAATTTAGATGCTTGCAAGTATGCATAATCCCTTTCAAACAAGAATCTTGTGGCAAAATCCCTTCAACATGACTATTAACATGCTTCTCCCATGCTTCTCAACATGATTTTCATCTTGATTGTTGTCTATAAAACTCCACATTATCGTGCAATAGTATTTTAAATATGTATCATATACTTGAAATATTAAAACTTTGACACATTGGGGTAGACCGAAGAACCGCAATAAGTTATATATTTAGTTACTTTTTAATGTACGTGCTTTAATTTAATGTCCTAAATATGAGTTTTGTGTAAACATTTTGACTAATGTATGCTACTTTGTTGATCATTATGAAGATAAACAAAGTTTATGAATGAAAAATTAACTATTTAACTTGATAAACTATAAGAAATATAATTTATAATATTCATAACTTGTGAATACTATGATATATAAAAGATAATTAGGAAAAAAAATAGAAAAAGTATTTGATATCTCAAAGAATGCAACTGGAGGACATTTTTTTAATTTGAAGTTTTGGGGACCACCTAAAAATTACTATATGATTTTTCTCAAAAGAAAAAGTTTCCAATTTTAGTTTTCTAACCATTAGATCTGAACTCTTAGAAAATTGAACAATCTCTATTCCAGCGTGAGACTATTTTTTTCAAGTGCGTAGAGGGTCCAATTAAGAAGTTATTTTTTACTGAGGTTAATCTATTAGTTGAAAATGTTATATTCCCAAAATTTGTGGTTATGGAAGTAATCTGGTGGGGTTTTAGCTAGAAGTATAATATTTTGGAGAATGATTTCATGCAACGGTTGTATTGTAGTATAATGTAAGTATCTTCAACAATCATGTTAGAGACATTTGTTTGACATGAATTTTTAAATGTACATTCTTTTCATTATGAAGAACAATCACAAAAAAGGAAATTTTGAAAAAAATGCTCTAGAAAGTTTTCATTCTAGTCCAATTAATATAAGCCGTCCATTTATTGAGATGGTTAGATATAGGCTTCATAAGGACTTTTTTATTCTAACAAATTTTATGTAGCTTTATCATCATTAAATTAATAATATTAAAATAGAAAAAAGTGATTTTGAATTTGTTAAGGTCAAGATCTTGAAATTCACCAAATGGATTGTCGAGATTCATTGTTAGATGGGTACTAATTTTGACCATATCTAGGGTGCAAATTGAAATTTTTTTTCTCGATAGGATTAATTATGAGGATGAAGAGAATGTGTGTGCAAAATTTGAGGACATACAAATGTCAAAAATATAGTTTTTAGATGTGTGGTTGCATTATACTACTATACAACCGTTGCATTAAATCATTTCCCAATATCTTTAAGCCGAGGCTAAGATCTTTAGGACTTGACAAGTCTCGATAACTCATCCTCGGCTAGGGAATCATGGCCTGCCTATCTCAAGTGAGACAAGTAGACTCACCCAGGAGTCACTATTGAAAATTGGATGGCCTAGGAGTCACTACTAAAAATTGGATGGGTCAAATGGCGCTGTAGTATTTGGTTGTGTATGATCTAAGAAAATAGAAAGTAAGATGGGAAGACCTTTGTTTTCGGCCGAGCATTCTTTCAACACGTATTTTGCCCCCTTATTGATATAGATTAATGCACAGAGAGATGGGGTGGGCAAATTAATCCTCTGGATACTTGAAAACCGGAGCTCACAAAAAAAATAGAAAAATTTATTGAAATGAGAAGTTGAACCTTGAATGTAAGGCGGTCATTTCACTAAAAATCCACCATTTCCTCTCTATTTATTAAAAGAGAGACCATTTATCTTTTGTGCATGAAGGTCATTCTCATTCCCACTCATTAGATGTCAAATGGGATGGCTTAGGATCAGACACCAAGTCCAAGAAATTTTGTTTTTTTGGACCTTTGTGTCTATTGAATGACATTCTTACAACCACCTATTTTAAAATTTAATGGACAAGAATAATTGTGATCACCATGCACAAAAGATAAAAGGAAAAGTTTATATAAAGCCGAGGCTCTAAACAATCAAAGTAGAGCCTACCTAAAACAGTTCACTAGAAGAGGTGGTTTTGATGCCCAAATATCCTCAAATTGAGCATCTCGACATCAAGATGCATAGACATAATAAAAAAATAGATTTCAAGTTTTGGGAATTATGTATTTTGTAACGTATTTTTGAACCCTCAATTTTCAAGATTTTAGATTTTTCATAGATCTATCAATCTACAATATTTTTAAAGCTTCAA